CTGATATGGAAAGCAAAATTATTAAGTGTAACACCAATTTATTGAGACCAGCTCAGAATATTTTTTGCTCTACACAAAATTATTAAGACCAACACAAAATTTTAATATCAACACAAAGTTTTTAAGACCTACACAAAATTTTGAACTCAAGGTAAAATTATTAAAGTCAACACAAAAATACTTAAGCTCAACACAAAAGTATTTAAGCTCAACACAAAATTATTAAGACCAACACGTGGGCAGTGTTTGTCATAGCGTCTGAAAATGACCTTGTGAGATCCTTTAGGATTTTGTCGGATACTATTTATATAAAATCCATATTTAGTATAGATAATAACTTAGATATAATCTATTAGTTTTATGTCTTATTGTGGTATCTTTAAGCCTTTTCTGGCGCACTGTCAACAGGCCTCTCGGAGAAGGTTCCGTGCATTCGCCATGATTACCAAACTATAGAGTAAAGTAAATGGTTTGAACCCAGGAGTATCGTTACATGCTTGTAAATGTCGATCGTCCAGGTTGGTATAGTCCTGAGAAGGACTGTTTTTGTTGTTGTTGACTGACGTTTCGACAACCTTAGCGGTAGTCATTTGACTCTGAAGATGATCACACAGGAATGATCTCTGTTCTTCTATCATATTGATTGATATATGGGCGGAATGGTAACTTGGTATGGACTCTCGTCAATAGGTAGTAGCTCATCCATATCAATTCCATAATTCTGTAATTCAGCTTCATTCATAATACCTTCAATCTCTGAGTATTTTGAATTTATAATCAGCAGAACACCCGAGGTAAAGAGCTGTAGTGGTGTCATGCCATTCTCTGAAGACAAGGGATGGTTCTACCATTGTGTAACTTTTTTAAACATCTGTTTATGTGTGGCATGTAAACATAGTGCAAGGCATAAATGTGGACTTCTTTCAAAGGATCCAAATGTCCAGAGTCCTCTAGTTCACAGAATGCCTTTTCGAAGAAGCTTAGAACACCAGAATATATATCTCGATAAAGTCTTTTGACCCTGGTGTTATGCACAGAACTAGCAATTATAATACTCCATCTTCCTAAGCCTGTACTCAGGCCCAAGCATATAAGAGTAACTTCTACAATGTCCAAACCGTGGTCTCCATCTTAAAGCCCAGTTCCCACGGGGTATACTTTACGTAAGCATTCACGCACTCTACAGCGTTGAATGCGAATAGTACGACTTCGTAATGCTGCCATTAGACGCCTTTCACATATATTTGGTGTAATGTGGCGAACATCTTGAAGAAGGTGCTCTAATTCGTCATCAGTGAAGGCCAATCTCCACTTCGACCGTATCGTAGCGTAACGTAGCAAAACGTGACGTAGCGTATCGTATGCATATACGTGTTACATTCTCCACTTTGGCGGTTTAGACGAACCGTACTGAAACGAAGCATGGCGCGAATTTTGATTATAATCATAACATGGCGGTTGTCAGTAAAAACACACTTCTTTTTTTCTTGTTAAAAAGAAGGATGACTAAAGGAAATAAAAATAAAAAGTCAGTATGGGTACGAAAATTATTTGAAGAACGCAAAACTAAAGGAGAATTCTATTTATTAGTCCAAGATTTACGTTTATTTGATGAAGAATTTTTTTTCAAATATTTTCGTATGACTCCTGTTCAATATGAAGAACTTTTGACTATGATTGCTCCAGAGATACAGAAGTCTTGCTTAACTCGGGAATGTATAGGGCCTAGTGAGCGACGTTTTGTAAAACTCAGGTATCTAACTATAGGAGACTCTCAAACAATCATAGCGATGAACTTTCCAATGAGCCCAACCACTGTTGGACGAATCATCTTTTCAACATGTGAAGCACTGTGGAAAGTACTGTCATTGGTATTCATGAAATGTCCAAGCAATGAGGCAGAGTGGAAGTGCATAGCACAGGGGCTTGAAATTAAATGGAATTACCACACTGTATTGGTGCGCTTGATGGGAAACACGTCGTGATGCAGGCACCAGCTAACTCTGGATCGATGTTCTTTAATTATAAGAAAACCCATTCTATTGTTTTAATGGCTATTTGAAATGCAAACTACCAGTTCATATTGGTTGATATTGGTGACTCAGGACAGAATAGTGACGGTGGTGTATTTTCTTACAGTACAATGGGCGAATCAATTAAGAAAAACAGCTTAGGCAACCCTAGGCCCAAGGCATTCCCTTCTACTCAAAAATGCTATCCATTTGTCATAGTGGCATATGAGGCGTTTCAGTTACAGCAAAATATCATGAAACTGTACCCTAGAGAAGCTCTGGGAATATCTGAGCGGGTATTCAATTATCGGCTGTCTCGAGCGAGGAGGGTAATTGAAAATGCGTTTGGAATTATAGCAGCGCGATTTCGGGTATTTCGTCGACCAATTCGCGCCAGAGTTGAAATGGTTATTCAAATTACAAAAGCAGTAGTCGCTCTGCACAATTATCTTATGGCTGGAAGGTCTTTTTCGCACAGCACAAAATACTGTCCAGCTGGTTTCGTGGACAACGACACAGAAAACGGAAGAGAGCTTGGAGAATGGAGAAAAGTGACACAATCAGATAAGGGTTTAAGAGATGTCAGTAACGCTGGGTCAAACAACTACTCTCGTGATGCAAAGCTTGTTAGAGAAGATTTTAAAAATTACATCATGTCCCCAAAAGGACAAGTACGCTGGCAGTGGAACGCAGTACATGCTACAGTAGATTGTTTTCAAAACGACGATTAACTAAATCAAAGAAACATTTATTAGTTTTGTCACTGTTTTTATAACAAAACGTGGTGGTTAACGCATGCAAACGTAAAGTTATTTGTAACAATAAATTTCTTGAAAAAGTTTAAGGAAAAAAACATTCTGCTACATTTCGTCATCATCTTCAAACTCAGCAAGAACTTGCAATACTTTGATCTTAGCCAATTTGTTTTTCTTTCCAGTCAAATTCCTAAAGGTAGTAACCAAATTGGAACAGAAAAGAATGTTCTGGTCTTCTGGGTTAGTTGTTATTTTTGAATCACCATTTCTAGCATATGCTATATCATTGGCAAGGCTTAAAGCCAAAAGATCGCCAATCCGATCTGATCGCCTTTTCCGAGTCTTTTGAAGAGGTTTTGAGTCTGAAATTTCTAGATTTGAATGGTCCACAGTGATTGGTGTAAATGATGTAAATGGTCTATCCTCATCGGTGGAGAGCACATCAGGATTCTCGGCAATTTCAATTGGGATGTTGGTTTCAGTTTTTCGTTCAGTCATCACATCGCGCATAAACATAGTTGTTTAGTATCGAATTTAGGAGCCATAACTAAAACAATAAATGGGGAGGTGTCTTTATTCTTATATTCAGTAGAGTCAGACTGATTTCTTTTGAAAATGATTTAGCTTTCTAAAGAAATCACTCAAGCTCAAATAAATATAAGAAAAAACAAACCTCCCCTCTCCCAATTTAGTTCTCTAGCTATGGCCCATGCCAATTGACTTAGTTTTAACCCCAATAAGAAGGAATGCACCAGTATTTTTTTACAGTCTAACACCAGACAAGACGTTCTTAGGATGTGAATGGTTTGCACCATAGACAAAATGTAAGAAGAGTATCATAAGGAAATTGCAATATAAGGATGGTTACAGGTACAATGCAGAAAAAAATAGTGAGCTACACTAAATTTAATCTGGAATGTTGCAAAATGGACATATTTAATCTTACCATGAATATCAACTTCCATATAAAGCTCATTTAATACTATCATTTCTTAATTAACTGGCATTTTGATGATCAGTGTCATGTCACTGTGATAATTGCATGGGTGAGTATCACATTTAAATAATATAATGTTTTAATAAACAGAAGGTGTAATATGTACTGTTTGCTTATTTTTACTCATAACGGCTCTGTTGTATAAGTTTTGTTAACTGAAGTATTGAATAAAATAAAGCAAAACGCACATAACTAGATATTTCTAATCAAACACATTTAAATAGACATAAATTTATACCCAACAAGTGGCAGTTAATATAGCAATACAATTTTCACACTCAATAGTTAATGTAGGACACACTTCAATTGCAAAAGCTGGACCAAGAACTGTAGTGATTACATAAATGGCTACTGTATTTTATTACAGAGTTTTACCTGTTTTATAAATTTAAGGATTTTTTGCTTATGAAAACCAGGTATCTTGTTCTTTTAGGTTCCAAAAGTTTAAGCTAAACTATATTGTTAAGATAACATACCAGGTACATACAAAGCAGCAGAAATTCGTCGCAATGCTTCCAGTTTCCTTGGTTTGTCTTTATGCAACTTTGACGAAACGTTCCAGATGCAATGGTATTTTCGCACTTCTTCGATTAAGTTAATCAAAAATTGAGGTTCTTGTACATTTATAGCGCGAGCAGTAGATTCGCTGTTACTTCTATTGAAAAATTCCACAATTACGTAATTCCAAATCTTGTCCACATTCTTCTCATCCACTTAATAACTCTTCGTTCACTTGGTGGTATTGGAGTAAACTCCAACTGTTGATGTAGTGATGACACACACGTCAAGTCTCCTTGGTGACAAATGTGGGAATTTATAACATGTTTGAAAATTATTAATTTCGGAAACAGAATGTGAAACTATATTACAAACTAAAACTTTTACCTGTATATAAAAAATACAAAATTGAGCAGATCTTTTCGACCGCCATTATAGTTATAGAGATTTTTTTTCAATTTTTAGATGCAACATGGCTGGATGAGTCTTTTCTTCTTTTGACTTCTGACATTGTCGAATTATTTTTTAAAAGGAAAGACAGTTTGATGTGCTACGTTTGGGAAAGTTAGGCTGTTGGCTATTGGTTGAAAGCTATCGCAAATCAAACAACGTTTTCACATAATGGGAGGCTAGTTCATCGCCTGATTTTCAGTCAGATAAGGATGTCAAGAAAAGAAACGAAATTTGTAGTTCAATTATTCGTATTCACCAAAGTTACCCTGATCAAATGAGGCTCTACTGGAGTGTTTATAAGAGAGAAGATAATGTTACACACCATGAAATTACTAAAGTCGTATACAATTGTCATTTTCAAATCAACATGAATTACATGGCTTGGAAAAACCAAGAGCTGTGGTTTTCTGAACATAAGCCATACAAAGACAATCCTGCTTGGAGAGATAAAAGTAAATATGTCGGTAGACGTGGAGCGTAAAGGTACAGCAGAAAGCATATAATTTACTTTTTTGTAATGACTGTGAAATGCAAATGTGTTTTTTTTACTATAATATATAGTGGACTCGGCCTGCGTAGCCAGACCACAAGTTTCAGTCTTGCATTTTTTGGATTGAGTCTTTTCTATAGAAATGTACTGTTTTCACACTGCATGTGAACTGACAAAAAACCCGTACATGGCAAATAAAATATGTAGGTTGTTTACGCTAATTGCTCAGCAAAAAAAGGGCTTAGAGATGTATTGTTTCGTATGTTCTTTACCTCGATGTATTTTCTTGGAACTCCTATCTGTAAGCAATTTTTTTCGCCCCTTCATGTCAGTGGCCAAAGCCAGTCCAATGCAATGCTGATGTTCATGAAAATCAATTTTTGTATTTTTTAGACTGGCAATTCAATTGACTGTCTTTCTGTGAATGAACATAAAAAAGTTTGTAGGAATCAAGTAGGTTTCTGCTGTTTGCAACACGCTCATTAGCGTAGCCTTTCACTACAAGTATACATGTCATTGTTTGCTCATTATTAAGATAATCTGTGAATAAATTTTAAAGGGGTGAAACTTGTCAATTGCATCTGACCATTTAGTTACATATTCTAATGATCATTCTCTATGGCAACATATTACCTATGTAAGAATTATAGTCACGACTTATTGTGAAAGTCATCATACAAGTCATTGAAATGAATATAACTGGACGCTACCTTTTCCTGCTATAATATTGAAGCCGCTTCTCACCAGTCTTTCCACGCAATAGAAACACCCGGCCGGGCGGCCAAACTATTTCTTCTATGAGCACTATTCAAATACCGGACAACTATATACTAGTGTCTTTTGATGTGAAATCACTGTTCACCAGCATTCCACTTAATCTGGCACTTACTTGTACAAAAACCCTCATTACAAACACCACGGACGTACTGCCATTACCGACAGAAGACATTATGGAGCTACTGGAGCTCTGCCTCACCTCGACTAACTTCCAGTACAAAGGTACACAATACAAACAATTACATGCAACAGCAATGGGCTCACCCGTTTCTGTTGTAGTTGCTGAAATTGTAATGCAATCTATAGAGGAACGGGCGCTCACGACTTACAAACATGCACTACCTTTTTGGTTCCGCTACGTAGATGACACAATCACAGCACTACATGCAGCCGAGATTGATGACTTTCGCACTCACATCAACAAACAGAACACCACATACAATTTACTAAAGATGTCAAAGAAAACGGAACTCTTCCTTTTCTCGACTGTATGGTAAAACATGACAAGCAAAAACTACGAACAACAGCTTATCGCAAGCCAACACATACTGATCGACTTCTAGACCAATCATCTTACAACCCTACATCACACAAAGCCACCACAAACAGAACATTAATAAGACGTGCACAAATCATATGTGGTTCACCGGACGCTCTACACAATGAAAAAAACTATCTCAAACGTGTCTTTGACAAAAACAACTATAACTCTGACTTTATCAAACGCAATACTTACAAACCCAACGAAACTAAGAACGCAGTGACAACAGCAACGTTACCTTACATCAAATGTACGTCTGAGACTATCTCGCCTATCATACGACCATAAAACATACGTGTCCCACATAAACCAATCTTAACGTTACGACAAGTACTAACGAACATAAAGGACAAAGAACAACCCAACGAACGACAAGGTGCAGTTTATAAAGTAAACTGTTCCGACTGCCACGTCTCCCATATCGGGGAAACTTTCAGGAACTTAAACATAAGACTTACTGAACACAAACGAGCTACTAAGAAACAAGACAAAACTAATCACATTGCCGAACATCACCGAGCATCACAAAGCACAACATTGACTGGGACTCGGCAAAATGCATTACTTACAGTACTGACTATAGACAACGGCTTACATTAGAAAGTTGGTATACCAACTTGGAAAAAACCCCCCTGAACAGATCGCACCAAAGGATTGAAAGATTATGGAGGGAAACCGTCTTGTTGCCAGTCGATTTGTAAAAAATATTTTTATATTTGGAAAAGCAAGGTGTTTTTGACCCGGACAATGAATTTCATTTATTTGCCTTACATTTAGTTTACCGGCACCTTACAAACGACTTATTCACAATACAAACAAACGATCAACTAAAAACATTTCACTTCACACTAATTCACAATGACAATACACAATTGACAACCACACATTTCCTGTACACACAATACAATGACGTAAGAACCAAATAACAAATACGGCTAACCTGACGTTTACTCCTCATTTGACTCTGAAGATGACTACCGCTAAGGTTGTCGAAACGTCAGTCAACAACAACAAAAACAGTCCTTCTCAGGACTATACCAACCTGGAGGATCTACATTCACAAACATGTAACGATACTCCCGGGTTCAAACCATTTACTTTAAAAAAAACTTTGTTGCTTCGAAGTAAATAATTTTTTAAGATCATTAACCAAGGCTAAAAATTCTTGATTTGATAATGATTTATCGTTTGGAAATGCCAAAAGAAAGGTCTATTTCTTTGACATAAAAAACGTACAGCCTTCGAGTGACTTTTTTCACGGTCGTGATGAAAAACTCGTTGTTATTACTTATGAATACAACAAATACAACCTTTTACACATAAAATCTGTTATTGTTTGCACATGTTTTTGCTGTTTAGGTGTGAAATTTTGACTAATGAACCTGCAAAACCTTCATGCCGCAAAAGTGTTTTCAGTTGCGTTTGTTTACAGACAACAGACTAACTCTTTCGCTCAAAATAAAACTGTGTATATGTGAAAGCACATTGGTTACAGTCCCAATTACAAAATTTCTTCTCAAAACCATAAAAACTCAAAAACAAAATCTTTCTTTGAAATTTGTTTCGTACATCACAATCAAAAATAAATTAAATAGTTTTTTTTCTTCTATACAGCAACACTCTCGCAAGTGAATAATATATAGTCGTGAATCACGAATGAATCTAAAATAATCTGAAGGTAGCGTTGCAGTGATATTCCTTTCAATCATCTGAGGACTTACGTGCTTTTGGCAACGTGTTATCTTCGATGTCTATGAACTGATCAATCTAAAGGCTGATTTCCATTCAGTGTAAATTGTCGCGCGATCAACTTTTTCCGATCACTTTCTTTTCAATTGTAACTCTCGACCGGAACCGTTTCCCACTGCTGCACACAGTTCAAAAGAAAGTGATCGCAAAAAGTCGATCGCGCGACAATTTGCACTTTGTATGGATATCAGCTTTAAGTTGTTGTATGTAAAACATATTTATAACGCCATTTCCTGGTTCATCTATCTTTTATTCTATTAGAAGAATAGCTTTATTCATATTTGTATGCGTCTCTTACCCATGCAAACCTATCTTAAAATGCTTGACATAAATTACAATCTTTGACTTCTCAGTTGTTAAAAACACGGTAGGATGTCTTCTGTGACAAGAAAAAAAAAGTTGCCACGAGCTGCTGGAGCCAGTTTTTTTATTAAAAAAGGAAAAAATTCCCAAGTTAAACTAAAAGACGAGCACTTTGTTTTTGTTTCTTTCGACGTCAGCAAATGGGTTTTTTTCTTTTCGTTTTACTCAAATTCGTCAACCGCCTCAGCAAGGCCCGTCACAAGACGTTCAATTTTGTTGTAAGCTTATTAAATTAATGTTTATTTCATCGTTTCAACGACTCAATTTTTTTAATACTTGTTCAGTCATTTTTGGGTTGCTGATTTGTTTTGATTTGGTCTTAATCAAATCTTCATTTCAAAATCTTGTTTAACTGGAGATTAGTATTTCTATTTAGTCAATTGGAATATGTTGCATTACAGTAGCCAGCCCGACTTAATTTTTACTATCGCGCCATGCAAATATTTTTGTGTCAAATGACCGTGAAAATAAATGAATAATGGTAATCCTTAAATATCTACTTCACAGTAGTACATCTACTGGCTGGCTACGCTAAACAGATACTAAAATGGAGTTTTTGTTATATTTACGTTTGACTATGCAACACTTGTATGTATGAATGCGAATGTAAGTCAGATGAAAAACACTCGAAAAGTGTGTTTTATCCAAATGACACAATTTTAGACGATTTATTTTTATGCAGACCATGCAGATGTGCTTGGTCTGCATAAAAATACTTTAGTTTGATATTTCTTGGTTAGTATCTCGAGTTCATTAATAAGAGCATACTATAGTAAAAAAATTCATGGTAACTCAATGAATATATTCCATGCAGAAGCTCGAGCATTTAATGCTAAAGGCTGAAACACACTGGGCAGTCGCTTCAGTCGCGCGTCCAAAGCGAATTGATGCGCACGCGTCAGTCGCTTGAACTCTAGAAACACACATGCAGCGACCATCGCGACATTTACCGTGGCGTCTATTGAACATGGCGGTGATTTTAGTTTGTTACAGACACAGATATCACTTAAACTTTTTATTTCGGCCTTTATTATAGCTACTAATATATGAATATTTACTCAGTACAAACTACTATGTGGAGAAAAGAGAACAAGCCAGTTAAAACACGCCAATATGATCATAGCACATTACGCGTATATCGTGGATAATCCTATTCTGTGCATTTAGGTTGTGCATTAGGGTTCCAGTTTGTAGCTCCTATTGTCCCTATTTGATAAGTCATATAAAAACTGAAAGATTCCAGTGTGAATTCACTATATATTGCTTTCGTTTTCCAAGGTATAATCTATAAATTTCGTATGATCACAGAATAGATACATACAGAAGCGCCACTCAGCGAAAAATCTGTCCCCTACTTGTACGCAGTTCTTAAGTGCGCATCTTTTGCGTCCGCCATTACTCCAGCCAGATAAACTGGCCAGAATGTATATAGATTAATATTATGAAGAGTTGTTTTTCGAAAATTTGACGAATTCAAATTCACTTATGGACAAAATTTTTAATGCCATCGGATAGGATACTACGGTGGCCTATATCCGCCATGGCAAAATATTTCAATTACAAATCTAAAACATTAGTAACTACGTCACAAAGTTAATACTCACGGCAAAACATATATACTCACGGCAAAACATATATACTCACGGCAAAACATATATACTCACGGCAAAACTTTATTCCTTTATATTAGTACTGCCGGTTGCTTTCTTTGACAATATGGCGGATGAAGAACAACCTCAACCTGATGTCGTTGACGAGAAAGGTTTGATAGAATACTATTTCTATAAGGGATTTGAGTACAAAGATATTATTTTATTTTTAAATACTTATCGCAACATCGAAATAAGCAAAAGAACGCTTGAAAGAAGACTGCAAAAATTTAATTTGCGACGTAAAAACCCAGTGTATGATATCAATTTGGTCACTGAAGAGATTAGTCGTTTGTTAGATGGGCCTGGCTGTATTCCTGGTTATAGACATGTGTGGCATTGCCTGAAATTAAAAGGCTTTCAGGTACCAAGAATAATTGTGGAATTATTGCTTCGACAGCTAGACCCTGAAGGATGTGAAATGAGAAAAATATATAAGTTGAAAAGAAGAGTTTATGTAAACGAAGGTCCCAATGCAGTATGGCACGCTGATGGCTACGACAAGTTAAAGCCATATGGCTTTGCTATCCACGGCTGCATTGACGGGTGGAGCCGAAAACTTTTGTGGCTATTTGTGACGCGATCTAACAACTATCCTGATAATATTGCTTCTTATTACCTTGAAGCTGTGGATAAGTATGGGGGCTGTCCTGTTGAATTAGTAACTGATTTGGGTACCGAAAACGGTAAAATGGCTGCAATTCAATCATTTTTCTGTGATAATGAAAATGCTCACAGATATGTTGGATCCCCAAGAAATCAACGCATCGAAAGTTACTGGTCTATGTACAGGAAAACCCAGTCTTCTTGGTGGATTAACTTTTTTCAAGGACCTTGTTGACTATGGCAGACTTAACATGTCGAACGAATTTGAGAAAGATTGCTTGTGGTTTTGTTTTGCACGCCTTATTCAAAAACATTTGACTGAAACATGCGAGCATTGGAATACACATAAGATCAGAAAGTCCAGGCATTACACAGTTGATGGAAGACCAGATGTGCTGTATTTTTTACCACATGGTAAGGGAGGAGAATCAAATCTTATTGTGTCAGTAACAGATGACAAAAAGTCGTATGCAAGAAATCATCTAATTGAATCGGAGACCTTTAACTTGTATTTTGAATACATTGAATATGTAATGGTTGATAAAAGATTTAATATTCCTAAAAATTGGAGGGAAGCGCTGGAACTTTTTGAAAACATTGTCGCTATCTCCAAAGGTGCTTATGGAGATTAAGTATTTTTAGTTAGGCAGATTTATTTACATGAAAGCTACAATTAGCGAAAACAATTAAAGAACAGCTCAAACGTATATTAAACAATATCACTTTATGTGTCTTATTGTGTGTTTATAGATATAAGAACTCATAGTCAATGCCAACTTTAAGATTTATTTAAGAAACAGATTTACACAACAGATGTCATGCTAAGGCTTTGCAAATGCTTGTCCCTTGCAGTAAGCAAGTAAAAACAAATCAATGAATTCTTTCTCTGTTTGCATGTGACGTGTTGGAAATGTAATTTCTTTGGCACATGCTCCAACTCTTGGGAAACAAACAGTGTGCTGAGGGTTACGCTGCATGCACTCATGGTCAAACAAAACTGTTATACCAAATTTCTCTCCTCCAACTGGTTTGTGCCGTTGGCCAGTAATCCATTGCATGATACCAGCAACTGACAAATCAGGTGATTCAAAATTATCTGTAGAGGGGGAGTGATTCAATCTCTGGGATTGTTTGATTTGCTGACAAGTTGCCCAATTCATGATCATAATTCCACGCAACTGCACTTTTTTTAACCAGATACACGGCCATCATCAAATGACAACAAAGTATCCTGGAAAAAGTCTATAATAGATTCTTCGACTTTCTTTCTAGAAGAACCGTCTTCTGAGTACATAGGATTTATAATGGAGAGTAAGTAATTGGCATCAGGTTCCAAAGTTTTCTTGAAGTTGCCATTGACAAATAGTGGCTTGCAAGCTTCAGGGTCATTCTTGATTAAGTCAGGTAGCCCATATGCTTTCATACCACCAAGAAACTCATTCATATACAAAGTTCTACGATTCAGGAGACTAACCTAACAAAATAGCACATTTAAAATAGTTACTATGAGTTTTAAACCTTAACTTTGATTTCTATTCTGAGGCTACTGCTAACTTTAAAACTGGAAAATAGAGCTCAACATGTATGAGATACTTTTTTCTATAAAAAGTATGTAAAAGTTGTCAAATTTGTCATATGTTTATCAACTTTAGGTGGTTATTATGAACAGCACCATGACCTTAAAAACTCTCATTACATGCATTTAAGACAAGCTTCACAAATCATTGTTAGTCATTTAAAATTCTATATTTTCAAACCATGTAACACAGTGAATATCAAATACCTTGATTGAACCAACAATTGCTTCAATGTTTTGTTTATTCACTGGACCTGTATAACCATGCTCAAGAATGGTATCAACATAGTCTTCACATGATGATTCAATTTGCTTTATTAACTGATGCTCTTTTGGTGACAGATCACTTGCTTTGATGTTGTGAATATCTACACCCTTAACCATCATATCGAAAGTAGCTTCATCAAGGAAACATGGAGGTGGCCCCCCTTGAGCCATGGATACTGCAGCTATCTCTCCACAAGTATGGTAATTGCTATTCTGGACATGTAGAGTAGAATCAACTGGAAAACCATCTGGAAGCATCATTTTTTCTATTTCTCTGGTAGCTTTTTCTAAAAATTCTTTGGCCATTGCGCCAGAATCAATACCATCCTCTCCAATAATGCGAACTCTAAAAATTCTTGTAATAGGGGTTTTCTTCGCTTCCCTTTGCCACAAAGATAACAATCTTGTCAGGCTGATTCCTCTTCGTACTACCAAGAAAAATTGGTCCAATTCAGCATCTACCTTGTCACCCAGTTTTTTGACAACATCTACGGGATCTTTTAGTATTTTTTCATAAACTGAGCTGACTGCTTCAGGATTCTTGTGAATGAATAGAGGAGATGCATAAGCTTCTGTATCAAGTTGATATTGCAGTTTCTGGGCAACTTTTGCATCTTCACATACCCTCTCTGATTCTTCAGTGTTGCACAATTCACGAATCGAATCCTGCTGATAAAACTCATCTTCTTCATACATAGTATCAAAAAGTTTGTCCTCTTTGTGGCAGTTGAATTGGTCAAAAATACCTTCGGAAATATTGTGGTCTTCCAAGGTGCAAAGGTACATGGTAATTCTTTTAAAATCTTTTCCTATCTCAACTTTATAATTGTCAAGTTGGAAAAAATCTTTCGTTCCAGGCATCAGCTGAGCATGACTTCCATCTTCATAAACCAATATATGTTCTTGGGTGTCATCAAACTTTCGATCAAATGCTTTGTATTTTTCAACAGCTTTATCCAGTATGCTTCGATAATTGGAGGTCTTTGGAACAACAACCGGAAGTTTTTTACCCCACACGGCTTTTAATTCATTGCCTACAATTTTCATCAGACCAATGTTGATTGTGACATTTTGATCACTATTATCATTGACTTTTTGTTTTTTCTTGGGGCGAAAAGTATGTCCAGAAATTTGCTCTTTGGACTTACGTTGCATGTAATCTTCAAGCGACAAAGTTTTTGGTTCACCTGAGATTACTGACCTGCCAAAAGATCCCTTTTTGTTGGAGCTACAGGTTGCATTGCATATGGATGATTCTCCTTCGCTGGAAGATGTTTGTGGCTTCCAGTCAGGTGGACCAATCTTTGATTGATCAGCCTGGCATTTCCAGCAGTATTGGGATGTGCTTCTAATTTTTGAAGAGCAATTGCAACAAAACCTAATCAGTAGATGAAATAGAAATGCAGATTATGAAAAAGTTTATAAAAAATTGCCTAATCATTTCTACCAAAAGTGGCCTGAAACTAAAGGATGTTAAAACTTTGCAGCGAGTCGTTATCCAAAATCACGTCCGTTACAAGTTGTGCAATTCGGATATAACAAAAACAATATCTTGAGAAAGAAATGCATAAACTGTTTTAGAAAATACACTGTCATCTTAAAAGTTCTGATGAATGAAAATATAATATAAGGCTAAAATTTTCGAGTCATGTGCACTTTCAAAGACCACTGTCAAAGACGTATAAGATTCAAATTCTTATAGGCAATATAAGAGCAAGCAAGTTGTCCACTATTTGCACTCAAACTATCAGAATTTCCTTCTAACTGGACAAATGTCCATTGTAGCGTTGACCTTGTCTGAGCGTTGCTTTCAAGCCATATCAACGCAGAGTTGACACAATTCAAACGCTCTTGCCTCATCCAACTCATCATGTGAACAAAGCAGTAAAATGAGAATAATCAATCTGAGGAATTTCAGGTAACATAATTTTCAATCAAACATAACCAATCAAAATAAAAAGCTAGAAAAATTTCCGTTCATACTTACACAAAGTCGCTAGATGATGGCGAACTTTCTTTTCTATGATCCGCCGCCATGTTGATCATGTAAATGCATATGAAATGAACAATTGAACATATGATTCAGGAAGTGCCAAATAAAAAGCCATTTCCGGTTTAATTCTTAAAGTTTTGCCGTGAGTATATATGTTTTGCCGTGAGTATATATGTTTTGCCGTGAGTATATATGTTTTGCCGTGAGTATATATGTTTTGCCGTGAGTATATATGTTTTGCCGTGAGTATTAACTTTGTGACGTAGTTACTAATGTTTTAGATTTGTAATTGAAATATTTTGCCATGGCGGATATAGGCCACCGTAGATATAGGCCACCGTAGGATACCAAGCATATGAGGTGAGAAACAGTTTTGTTGTAAAATACGTTCGTCAAATATAATTTTACGGGTTTTATAGTTTCTTGCCTTGAATTGTATGCGAGATCCATGTTTAGAACGTCTCTTATATTGAACGGCAGTTGCCCTAAGAATTTATAATTTAGGACAAAAGTAATAAATATATTTAATGTGATTCCATTTCTGTATTTTCTAGTAAAGAGTTTCCTATTAGACTGGTCAACGGATTTGATAGAAGCGATAAAACGACCTACTGTGCGTAAAGAACGTTCTTCAGATGAAGACGTTATTAGTATAAAATTTGGACTAAACTAATTTATATTTGATTCTTGAATCGGGGCTTTTTATTTGCAATGTAGCTTGTCTGCATAATTGTAATTGAAAGTTTTTATTTGTAATTGTATATTGAGTTCCTGTGGCTATCATGTCTGTCAAATTTGTATTAACTTACAAATAAAGATGTTTTTTGTTGTCTTATTTTTAATAAACAATATATGAAATTACAATTTTTTAAAGAATGAAGTTATTGATAAATTGTTACAATTAAATTAACAACTTTACCATTATGTCAAACATATTGTCAAGCTCCTACAGCTTACCTCTTTGGTTAAACTTCACTTGTGAGTTGTGACCAACAATTGTATGTGAAAAATGATTAGAATTATGTTTGATTCACCGCATTGATCAACCAGCAGAGAGAAATTATTGCAACAAAGGGCTCGAAAATTTAATTTTTGCTAAAATCCATAAACTTCATTCAGTAAATTAAAATTTTTATTGTAAGTAATCATGTCACAAACAGAACTTATTCTGACAAAACCCAGTTATAGTTACTCTTAATGCCATTATTTAAATTGTAATACTTTACACAGTAAAATATTTACCAAAAGGTGAAATACAGATACACCAGAAAACTTTTTTAAAATATTTGACAGGGGGAAACTGTGCCAAGCCAACACTAATGCAATTCACAAAAGCATTCAGGAAGCTTTTTTATGTTCACTTCTCACATCATCAATAAGCATCTATGTCAAATATATAAATAATCTCCTGATTGAATTTAAAAAGGCAGAAATAACAAAGTTAAGTCATGTCGACCATATGGCAGTATATGTTTTACAAATTGCTATTCAAGCACTTTATTGGTGGAGGCCAACATGCTGCTGCTTATGTTCCAACTTGCTCAAAAAGTCATTCAAGCTTCACAAGTCACAACTGTGATGAATACAAAATATTTTAGCATCAGATGACTTTCATAGTGGCCATGCAGCATCGCTTCTGATAGTTTAAAACACCTGGGTAGACAATTTTGGTGATTCGAATGTCCTGCCAAACGTTGTTTGCAATATATAAACTAACTGGAGGATAATTTGATTTGTCACTTGTTTCAGCCACGACCGAGATTTCAAATGTTAGAACAAATGTCTTCAAGATTCTCTGCAGAATTTTTATACGATAAAATTAAAACTGACGACAAACCATATACCGAGTACGCATCTCGTCAGATACATATCTACTTTGTAAATATTCCGAATAAACCCTCATTTATCAAAACGGACGTCGAATTAATGATAAATTGTTGAGAGCTTGATGTGTTAACTGTATCCACACAAAAAATATTTAAAAAATGGCAAATCTATAGAAATATTTGGGTTTATTTGCCAAAACCCATCCGTAGAACTATATATTATATTGCGATCTGGCTGCATTTATCTGGCTGGAAACATGGCCGCCGTGTAAAGTTGCCCGGATGCTGGGGACACGAACATCAAAGGTTCCGACATCGAGTGGCGCTTCTGTATGTATCTATTCGATAGATATAGTAGGACTAGATTGCTAACGAGTGTGACGTAATATAAGACTTATTAAGACGGCAGCGTGACATTCATGATAAATCCAAGATGGCGCGGGAACCGGGCAAAAAACTTGGGGCTACTATTAGGCAATTGTTGTTTTTTGCAGTTTATTACGTTTCAGTGTTTTCAAACTCCTCCAATCAAGTTTTATTGGAAACAAAGCGTTATTAATAATGTTTTGAAGCCATATTGGACAATTATTATTGGAATACAGGCGAAAATATCGCTTGCGAAGTGTTGTGTAAATTGGTCGTTTGGTTGTCTCGAGGCGTTTGTCTACCAAACTAAACGGATTTCGTCTGCTTTAGTTCTCATAATTGTTCGTCCACATTGAAATACATGATATTGAATACATACAGAAAGATGGGAAAATTAATCTTCATCGAAGACTTTATTTGCTGCTTTTACTACTTTTACCAATGAGGAGGAACTGGAGGATGGACTTGTAAGCTTGCCATAGGTCTTGAAAGTGGTTAAGCTTGACTTTAATGAACCTTCATGACAGTATGAGTGATCAGGTATGAGAGGTTGGTCATCCTTCTCTATGGTTAAGGCAGTTGCACATTCAGCACACTTGATGCAACTTGTAATTTTCTTGGCTATGTATCCACTGATATAGGTCAGTACATCATCATGCCAAAGAGTGGAACTGTTTAATAATGCTGAAACTCTCCTATCAACATTTTGTGTCTCTAATAATGTGATGCAATTTAGACATTTGTAGTTATAAAATTGTATTGCCATTGGAAACAACTGATATCATAGATGGTGTTGTAGCTATAGCATAATAAAAACATATACTATAACTAAGTATGATAAGCATAAAAGTCACATATATTTTATTCACAGCTATATCTTATAATAATCTCAGCCATAGCCAGCATTTTTGTTTGCTCATGCTATCTCAATCTTGCTGTGTTCACTCACTGTAAAAACAATAGATTTCTAATGAAATGAGCAATGATGCAGTGAAATTTACATAGCAAGTGTAAAACATTCATTCTGGATATGCCACCAATGACATCCATATCAAATATTTCATAAGATAATATATAAATTTAATGAACACCTTAGCTCTGGTAAAAAATACTTTATACAGAGCTTTATAACTCTCTCAAAAAATAGTATTGTAACAGTATCTTGGGTTATGTGTTTGAATGTAATTATGTCAGATTTTGAAATAACCACTGTTAATATAACAAGCTCCTGAACATAAGTTCCTTCTCTTTCGTTGAACCTCTTAGCTGTAAGATCTCATCAGTATAGCCAATGCTCCTGCATACAATTACTTGAGATGAGGTAAGTTTCCTTCAGTTAAGTTTACTAACTTTAATAGCTTCACTAAGATCTTGTCAGTAGATAATAGTGCTGCAGTGTTATGTATCTCCTTACTCCTCTTTTCATTCATTCAAAGTCGGATAGCCTTTCCAAACCGTGTTTGAATCTCACATATCTCACATATCAGTACGAGTACAGTGGGAGTGCTTTCTCGAATAAGTCGCTTTTTTGTCAGAAATATTCAGATTGATTCCCCAAACGACCAATTTACACAATATTTCGAAAGTGATATTTTCACCCGTATTTCAATTATAATTGTCAAATATGGTTTCAAAACACTTGAAATAAAGATTTGTTTCCAATAAAACTTCATCGGATGAGTTTGAAAACAATGAGAAGAAGAAAATTGCGAAAAACATCAATTGCCCTATAGTGACTCCATGTTTTTTGCCCGGTTCCCACGCCATCTTGGATTTATCATGGATGACACGCAATATGGCGGCTCGTTAGCAATCTAGTCCTACTATATCTATGATCTATTCTGTGGTATGATGCTTATGACAGGAAATATGATATGCATTTAGGAAGTTAAAATGTATCTATTGGCCAATCAGTTTAAAGCGACTGAAGCGACCAAAGTCAAAAGTTCAACATGTTGAACTTTCAAAGCGACTAGCTGACGCGACTACGCTACTAGCTTAGTAACCACGCAAAGCGGTAGTTTTAGACGCGCGACTAAAGCGACTGCCTAGTGTGTTTCAGCCTTAATACTGTAGATTTCCTTCAGTCCAATCAGTCTGGTGTGTGTGTACCTGCTTTAGAAAGCCAAGTGCTAACAACTAAGGGCAACGATTTGTTATGCAATAGCTCATGCGATCTTTCCACTTTATCGCCGTCTAGCCACAAATGACTGGACGCCAGGTTTTATATCTATGCTGCCGATACCGTAGTGCATTATCTCATCATCCTGATTGAGAAAGGCCGTGTAGCCATAAAGGGGTGGACACCAGGTTTGATATCCATGCTGCTAATGCCGTAGTGCATTATCTCGTCGTCTTGATTAGTAGAGTAGACAATGATATCGTCATTTGTGTAGCAATCTTCAAGAACTCATTTAGACAAGTTGTGAATTCTATTTGAGGTGCTGGAAAATTATATTTGCGTTATGTTCCTGTCGATGTAATTTTACAATATCTTGCAAGCGAAGGCAAAAAAAAATGCGTTGTATGCTTAGTGGAAAATCCATATTTCTGAGAAGTACAAAAGAGCCAACTCCCTTTTCTTCCTGCAGCCGAAAATGCGTTTCCGCAAATTAAGCGTTTTGTCATAGCTATGGGCCTGTTCACAGTGGTCGTTTAGATCGATCTGAGATCGATCTAACGTAAAGCGAGCTAAGTGTGAACCTTCGCTAAAATTTGAGATCGATCTCAGTCAGCTCGCTTCGAAAGGTGGTCTGAGATCGATCTGAAATCGATCCGGTTTATATGTGAACGTAAGTGAGCTTATTTCGATAGAACAGTTTCGCTCCCATGCCGTTTCCGCAAAAACGCAGACATTTTTCTTAAAATTGAAAATCAAAACAGAGAAAAAGCTTGGAAAATGGCGCAAAAACGAGAGGTTTGGTCAGAAAAAGACTGTTTAGCCCTCCTCTCAGCGTACGGTACAGAAGAAATTCAACAAAAGTTGAAAGGTACCCACAAAAACGCTGATATTTATAAAAGGGGATAGATCGTGATTGAACGCAATTTAGAACTAAATTTAAGCATATGAAATCTGAATACAAAAAGTTCAAAGACACATTATCACGATCAGGAGCTGGGAGAGGCAATGAACCTAAATTCTTTAACGTTATGGACAGTTTCTTGGGTGACAGACCGGAAGCAAGGGGTCTAAAAAACGTCATCGATACATCTGATGAATCAACGTGTTCATCAGCTGATGCTGAAATAAAAAGCATTAACAGGCATGATGATGATGGTAAGTTATCGTGGATGAGTTGGTATCAAGTGGGTTTTTTTTTGCAAAAGAAAATATTGGTTTTGCGTTTCATAGCAGACGAGCTTACAAGAAAATACGGACATGGGATCTTCATTGAAAAAAATGTCCTCACTACGATGAGTTTGTGGAGCTTAGGCAGCAGGAGCCCATGTTGGAAACAGCACTGCAGTATACGCTGATGATGACAGACTTGTTTGCCCATATTGCGATTACATTGAAGCAGGTGAATAGTAGAGCATTGCATGTGTGTACTATATTTTGTTTTATTACGTCGTAACATTTATGAGATATGTTATGTAGATGTTAGTAATGCAGATGAGAAGTTACCTAGTGAAGAAAATGAGAAATCCCAACCATCT